CCCCGGTCTCGGGGTGAGAGTCATCTGTCTACAGCCCCGGTCTCGGGCTGAGAATTCATTGAAGTAGAAGTTGGTTGTTTAAGATGGAGATGAGGAGAAATGTCATAATTACATGAAAACTAAGAGGAGGAGCAGGCCATTCGGCCCATCGAGCTTACTCCACCATGATTGATCATTCCACTCCAGACCCTGTTCCTGCTTTCTCCCCCCTGCACTTCACAGAACATGGGAGGGAAGGTTACTTCTTCTCTGGAATGCCGTCTGAAGGGTAAGGGGCAGCTCCAGGGAGAGCACCAATGTCATTCCCTCCTGCTGCTTAATTTAAAAAAAATTTAAAAGTTAGTTTAAAAAAGAATTGTGAACCTCTGCCCTAACTGAATGCCCACACCGGCTGCGTTTCAGCGCAGGCCGCGTGCCGTCAGGGGGCGATTCAGCGCGGGCCGTGTGCCATCAGGGGCCGTTTCAGTGCGGGTCGTGTGCCGTCAGGGACCATCGAGCATCGTACAAGCACCGTTGTCCCTTTGATTGTTTGTTTGATTTCCACATGGTGAATGGGCTGTTGATTTCATACCCCTCTGGGTCATGGTGATGGGCACCCTCCCTATGTTACCTGCAGCCCCCACCCTTCATGCGTTTGGCACACTCGCCTTCATTGCCAGTCCTTTGAGTATAGGAGTTGGGGCGTCATGTTGAGGTCGTACACGACATTGAGGTCTTCTCTGGAATCTGTGTCCAGTTCTGGATGCCCTGTTATTGGAAGGATATCATTAAACCGGAGAGGGTTCCGAAAAGATTTACCAGGATGTTGCTAGGATTGGAGGGTTTGAGTTATAAGGAGAGGCTGGATTATCTGGGAAGTTTTTGACTGAAGCATAGGAGGTTAAATGGTGACCTTAAAGGGGTTTATAAAATCATGAGGGGCATAGATAAGGTGAATGACAGGTGTCTTTTCCCTAGGGTGGGGGACTAGTGGGTATATTTGTAAGGTGAGAGGAGAAAGATTTTAAAAAAAATGAGTCAGTTTTTTTTTTACACAGAGTCCTTCATGTGTGGAAGGAACTTCCTGAGGAAGTGGTGGATGTGGGTACAGTTACAACATATAAAAGACATGTAGATAAGTACATGAATAGGAAAGGTTTGGAGGGATATGGGCCAGGAACATTCAAGTGGGACTTGTTTAGTTTTGTATTACGGTTGGTATTGACTAGTTGGACTGAAGGGTCTGTTTCTGTGCTGACTCATATGACTCATACACAACATACCTGGAATAGGCATGTACTCTGAAACGCTGCCACCCACCCCTGAATTTCCTCTGGGCTCTACCCCATTCTTCAGACAGACATCGGGGCACTTTTTTATCTGGTTTCTTCCCCTCCAACCCAGCCCCAGATTCTCCTGCCATTAGTCTTCCTGGATGCTGACCATCCCGTGGCCAATCAGAATATGAATAGACCCTAATCGCTAAATTACCCGTCCAGTTTCTGTAGATGAGTCATACTGGACTTGAAATGTTATCTCTGTTTTTCTCTCTACAAATGCTGCCAGACCTGCTGAGTTTCTCCAGCACAGAATCATAGTGATCTCCAGCACAGCAAAGGGCCCTTCAGCCCATTGTGTCTGTGTCTGTCAATTACAGCCACCTATCTATTCCAATCCCATTTCCCAGCACTTGGCCAATAGCCTTGGCATTGCAAGAGCATATCTAAATACGATTTAATGTGATGAGAGTTTCTGCCTCTCCCACTCTTACAGGCAGTGAGTCCCAGATTCCTACCACCCTCTGGGTGAGAACATTCTTCCTCACATCCTGTCTAAGCATCCTGCCCTTTATCTTAAATCTATTACCCCTTGTTGGAGAGATCAATGACCAGGGGTCAAGTTACTTCCTGTCTACCCTATGTAGGCCCCTCATAATTTAATACATCTCGGTCACGTCGCCTGTCAATCTCCTCTGCTCCAAGCAAAACAACTGCAGTCTGTCCAATCTCCTCAACACTGAAACTCTCCAGGCCAGGCAACGTCCTGGTAAATCTCCTCTGCACCCTCTCCAGTGCTATTACATCCCTCCTAGAACTGAATGCATTACTCTCGCTGTGGCCTAACCAATGTTTTATACAGTTCAAGCATCACCTCCCTGCTCTTAAACCCTATGCCTCGGCCAATAAGGCAAGTATCCTTTACACCCTCTTAACCACTTTATACACACACCCCAAGGTCCCAGTAATTCTCAGTGCTTCACAGAGTCTTGCCATTAATCCTATAAGCCACAGTATTTTGCTGTTGTTCATAATTTCTAACCAGTCTCCTTTTGTCCCACCACCTCCAATATATTTTTATCACTCAAAAAAGTTATTTAATTGTTTATATATCTTAGGCAGTGCAGAAGTGCTTTGGTGTTATCAGTGTCAGTCCAAGTGTTGGGTGGGGATGAACTCCAAACTTTGGGCTTAGAGGTGAGCGAACTGCCCACTGAGACACAGCTGACAATTTTTCCTGCACCTTGGGTGCGCGGTAGGTGTCTTGTAAAGCCAGTGTTTAACTTGCTGCTGTAGAAATGTAAACTGGAGTTTCATTGTTCTCAGCTGAACAAGTCGAATCCACCCAACATCAACTGCGTCGACAAGCTGGGGAATACTCCGTTACACTGTGCAGCTTATCGAGGACAGAAAGCGGCCGTAATTAAACTTCTCAAATGTGGCGCTGATCCCAGTATCGGGAACAACAACGGTAGGTAGCAGTTAAAAACGATGAATGCAAGAAGTAGATGTATGCCATTTGGCCCCTCAAACCTGTTCCACCCTTCAACTGGATCACGGCTGGTCTCCTACCTCAGGTCCACATTTGTGCACTATCTCTATTATCCCTTATCTCTCTAAGGCCCTAAAATTGAGTACATTGAAGAAAGTCTAAAGGGGGGACCTGGTTGATACAAGAATTATGAGCAACATAGAGAGGGAGGAACCTTTTCTTTTAGTATAGGGGTCAATAACTGTGGAGGGGGAAGGGGCACAGTTCAGGTTTAGAGGGGATTAGAGGAAATTGTTTTTCACCCAGAAGGTGCGAGTATCTGGAACTCAAAGGATGGAAGAGGTGGCCACATGCCCATATTTGGATGAGAACTAGAAATGCCAGAGAATAGAAAGCTACAGTTCAAGTGCTGGGAAATGGGATTGGAATGGATAGATACTTGATCACCAGCATGGAAATGATGGGCTGGAGGCTCTTTATCCATGCTGTAAAAATTCTGACTGATGACCCACAGGTCTTGGTGCGGAGGGGTGGGGGCAGTCAGCGGGTGGTGTGGTGTGAGAATTACAAAGGTTCACAGCCCGCTGAGTGAAGAAATCTCTCCTCGTCTCAGTCCAGATTGGCTTGAAGCTCTTATCTGTGTCTCTTATCTTTGTTCTCAATACTGACCCTATCGAACCCAAGAAACTTACAAGTTTCAATGAGCTTACATCTGTTTCTTTAACATTTAAGGGAATACAGGCCCAGTCTGTTAGAACTCTTATGTACTGCAATCCTGCAAACCCAGGCACCAGTTCAGTGAACCTTAAGTGCTCTCTCTGACTTTTATATTAACTTCAAACTAACAACTCCTCTGGGTATTAGTGACTAAAGTGCACTTTAAAATTTAATTAATAAAATTAATTCTAATTGTGACTGAAGCCTGGTGAATAAGGAGTTTACTTTTCAGCTCAATTTGAGGTTTTTGTTTATGACTGGAATGATTCTTTTGATATTCACTCATGGGATGTGGGCATCGCTGGCTGGGTCAGCATTTATTGCCCATCCCTAATAGACCCATCGTGCTCTTAGAGAGGGAATTCCAGGATTTTGATCAATGGTAACCCCCAGGATGTTGCTAGTGGGGGCTTCAGTGATGGTAACACCATTGAATATCATGGGGCAGTGGTTAGATGTTCACTGCCTGGCATTTGTGTGGCACGAATGTTCCTTGCCACTTGTCAGCCCAAACCTGGATATTGTCCGAATCTTGTTGCATTTGAACACGGACTGCTTCAGTATCTGAGGAGTCATGGTGCTGAACGTTGTGCCATCATCAGTGAACATCCCATTTCTGACCATATGATGGAGGGAAGGTCATTGAAGCAGCTGAAGATGGTTGGGCCTAGGACACTACCCTGAGGAACTCCTGCAGAGGTGTTCCTGGAGCTGAGATGACTGACCTCCAACAACCGCGACCATCTTCCCATGTGTCAGATATGACCCCAATCACTAGAAAGTTTGCCCCCGATACCCATTGATTCCAGTTTTGCTAGGGCTCCTTGATGCCACACTCAGTCGAATGCAGCCTTGATGTCAAGGGCTGTCACTCTCACCTCACCTCTGGAATTCAGCTCTTTTGTCCATGTTTGAACCAAAGCTGTAATGAGATCAGGAGCTGAGTGGCCCTGGTGGAACCCAAACTGGGCGTCACTGAGCAAGTTATTGCTGAGCAGGTGCTGCTTGATAGCGCTGTTACTGACACCTTCCATCACTCAACTGATGATTGAGAATAGACTGATGGGCGGTAATCGGAAAAGCTGGATTTTTCCTGCTTTTTGTGTACAAGATATATCCAGGCAATTTTTCACATTGTCAGGTAAGATGTCATTACGGTAACTGTACCAGAAGAGCGTGGCTAGGGGAGCGGCATGTTCTGGAGCACAAGTCTTCAGTACTATTGCCAGAATGTTGTCAGGGCCCATAGCCTGTCTGGTATCCAATGTCTCCAACAGTTTCTTGATATCAAGACATTGGTTAAGCCACTTTTAGAATACTACGTTCAATTCTGGCCACCCTGCTATAGGAAGGATGTTGTTAAATTAGCAAGGATACAGAAAAAAATTTACAAGGGTGTTGCTGGGACTAGAGGGTTAATATGGATAGGCTGGGACATTTTTCCCTGAAGCATCAGAGGCTGCGGGGGTTGACGTTATAGAGGTTTATAAAAATCATAAGGGGCATGGATAGGGTGAATAGACAAGGTCTTTTTCTTAGGGTAGAGGAGTCCAAAACTCGAGGGCATAGGTTTAAGGTGAGAGGGGAAAGATTTAAAAGGGATGTGATGGGTGGCACAGTGGCTCAGTGGTTAGCACTGCTGCCTCACAGTGCCAGGGACCCAGGTTCTATTCCACCCTCGAGTGACTATCTGTGTGGAGTTTGCACAGTCTCCCTGTGTCTGCGTGGGTTTCCTCCCACAGTCCAAATGTGCAGATTAGCCAGATTGACCATGCTAAATTGACCATTGTGTCCAGGAATGTGCAAACTAAGTAGATTGTCTAGGGGAAATGAGGTTACAGGGATTGGGTAGGGGGTGCGTCTGGGTGGGATGCTGTTTGGAGGGTCAGTGTGGACTCGATGGGCCAAGTGGCCTGCCTCCACACCATAGGGATTCTATGCTGTGCTGGGCTCTTCCATCATTGATGATGGGGATATTTGTGGAGCCCCTTCCTCCAGTGAGTTGTTGAATTGTTCACCACCATTCACAACTGGATGTGGCAGGACTGCAGAGCTTAGATCTGTTGGTTGTGGTCTCTGACTATCACTTGCTACTTATGTTACTTGGCATGTAAGTAGTCCTGTTTGGTAGCTTCACCGAGTAGGCACCTTTTTTGTGGTATGTCTGGTGCCGTACCTGGCATGTCGTCTCTCCATTGAACCAGCGACAGTATTGGAGACTGAGGGGTGACCTTATAGAGGTTTATAAAATCATGAGGGGCAAGGATAGGGTGAATGGCCAAGGTCTTTTTCCTAGGGCGTGGGAATACAAAACTGGAGGGCATAGGTTTTAGGTGAGAGGGGAAAGATTTAAAGGGCGCAAGGGGTAACTTTTTCACACAGAGAGTGGTGTGTATGGAATGCGCTGCCAGAGGAAGCACTCTGGGATTCCAGCCCACGACTGGCCCTTACTTTTTCACCCATTAATCTAAAGTGACAGAATCTTCTAATCACTTGTTTATTTTCTCTGATAGACCAAGTGCCATTGGATCTGGCTCGAGGGACAGAAATCAAACAAATCCTCAGTGGAAAATCAAGCAAGGTGTGTCTGTCCATCCTGAAAATTTTTTAGTAGAACCAGTTTTAGTCAGTATAACTCTGGAAACTATCCTGAGATTGGCGGTATGAAAGCAGTAGGCTATGTACCATGAGCATCTGAGGAGCAGGACAGTCACTGTTTCAAGCTGAAACCCTTTGTCAACGTTTCGGGTTGAAACCCTTCATTACGCCTGGGAAGGGGGAGGGGAGCCCAGAAATAAATAGAGGGAGGGGGCTCGGGCTCGGGCTCGGTGTAGGGTAGGTGAGATGGAGATAGGTGAATGCAGGTAGGGGGTTATTGTGGTTGGTCAGTGGAAAGGGTTTACATAAACTGCAGGGAGGAACAACACCTAATATTTCGCCTTGAGAGCGTACAGCCCAATGGCCTGAATATTGACTTCACTAGCTTCAAAATCTCTCCTCCCCCAACCTGTCCATCTTCCTAATCACCTATCTGCTCCATCCTTCCCACTGACCAACCACAATCACCCACTTCCTGCAGCCACCTATTTCCATTCCTCCATCCCACCTACCCTCCCCCCACCCTCTATTTATTTCTGGGCTCCTCTCCCCCTCCCCAGGCGTAACGAAGGGTTTCAACCCGAAACGTTGACTTTCCTGCTCCTTGGATGCTGTGTGACCGGTGCTTTTCCAGCTGCACGTTTATTGACTCCAGCTTCCAGCATCTGCAGACCCTATTTCTCCAAGGCTGTGCATCATCCAGAATGACAGGGGGTTTGGGGGCCTCCCCTGATTCTGTGGTGAACATTTGTTCCTCGGTGGACAGAGCTAAAACAGATGATATGCCAGGATTACATGGTTAAGACAGTAAGGTGTAATAGCAGAAAGAGACTGTTCGGCCCATTGAATCTGAATCAGCGAGATTGTGGCTGAACTGATAATGCTTGACTCTACTTTGCTGCCTTTTCCCCATTACCCTTGATTCTGTCACTGACTAAAAATCTGTTTATCTCAACGTGGAATATACCCAGCCTCGACATCCCTCTGCAGTTAAAAAAGAATTCCACAGATTCTCCAACTTCTAGAGAAGAAATTCCTCCTGTCTTAAATGGGCAGCCCCTTATTCTGAGATTATTCCCTTTGGTCCTAGACTGTCCCCCAAGGAGGAACAACCTTGTTTGTGGGACTAATTTGCTTGCTGTGTTCACTACAGTATAACAGTGATAATACTATGAAAGTACTTTGTTGGCTGGAAAGTGCATTGGGGTGTCCAATAGATGTGGAAGAAGCTATGTCACTGGAAATCTCTTTTCCCTTCATTTTCTCCTTTTCCGCTTTGTCACCCTCACCAGTCTTCACACTTCATATATAGTTTATCCAGGACTGTTCACATCTCCGCTGCTGTTCCAGTGAGAGCTTTGAAATCCACCTGAGTGTGCCAAAGGGACCTTGGTTTAACATGTCATCTGAAACGGACAGTGTTGAACACACAAGGCACTGGCATAAGTAACAATTTTTGTTACGTTATGTGGTGAACTCCTTGTAAAAATCCAGTGTTTTAAAAAATTGGTTGAGACAAGGTTGTTGCTGGCAAGGCTATTATTTATCTGCCATCCCTACCTGCCATTGAGAAAGTGGTGGTGAGCCACTTTTTCTTGAATACAACTGTGGACCACAGTGCTGTTGGCCTGGAGTCTCGTGTAGGCCAGACCAGGTAAGTACAGCAGAGTTCCCTCGCTAAGGGACATTATTGAACCAGATGGGTTTTTTCAAGGTGATTGCATTAATAATAATCTTTCAGAGATCTGGAGCACACTCAATAAGTCAAATGTTCTCCTTATGTTCTATGATAATTCTATGATTCTGCTTCTATGCCTGTAGTGATAACTTTGAGCTGTTAAAACTATGAATTACTAGCAGATCTTTCAAAAGTGCATAGTCATAGAGTCACAGAGACGTACAGCACAGAAACAGATCCTTTGGTCCACCTTGTCCATGCTGACCAAATATCTGAAATTAATCTAGTCCCATTTGCCAGCATTTGGCCATATCCCTCTAAACCCTTCATGTTCATGAATTAAATTGGATGCCTTTTAAATGTTGTAATTGTATCAGCCTCCTCCACTTCTTCTGACAGCTCATTCCATACACGCACCACCCTCTGCGTGAAAAAGTTGCCCCTTTTAAATCTTTCCCCTCTCACCTTAAACCTATGCCCTCTAGTTTTGGACTCCCCCACCCTGGGGAAAAGACCTTGGCTATTCATCCTATCCATACCCCTCGTGATTTTATAAACTTCTAGAAAGTCATCCCTCAGCCTCTGGCGCTCCAGGGCGAAGATCCCCAGGCCATTCAGCCTCTCTCTCTATAGCTGAAACCTTTCAACCCAGGTAACATCCTTGTAAATCTTTTCTGAACCGTTTCAAGTTTCACAACATCTTTCCTATAGCCGGGAGACCAGAACTGCATGCGGTATTCAAACGGTGGTCCATTAATGTTCTGTACAGCCACAATATGGCCTAGATTGTTAATACAGAGACCCAGATAACGTTCTGGGGACCCAGGTTTGAATCCCGCCATGGCATATGGTGGAATTGAATTCAATAAATATCTGGAATTAAGTATCTAACAACGACCATGAATCCATTGTCGATTGTCAGAAAAACCCATCTGGTTCACTAATGTCCTTTAGGGAAGCAAACTGCCATCCTTCCCTGCTCTGGCCTATATGTGACCCCAGACCCACAGCAATACTGCCCTCTGGGCAATTAGGGATGGGCAATAAATGCTGCCTAGCCAGCGATGCCTTTCGTCCCATGAATGACTAAAGGAACATGACCTCCCTACTCCTATAATCAATGCTCTGACCAATAAAGCCAAACGCTGCCTTCACTACCCTGTCTATCCGCAACTCCACTTTAAAGGAACAATAAAACTGCACCACAAGGTCCCTTTGTTCAGCAGCACTCGGCAGGACCTTACCACTAAGTGTATTAGTCTGAGACAAAAACAGAAATTGCTGGCCAAACTCACCAAGTGTGGCAGTATCTGTGGGAAGAAAGCAGAGTTAACATTTTGAGTCCAGTGAGTCTTCATTAGAATGACCTGAAATAGTTGTTTTAAGAGGTATTTTCTTTAAAACAGGAAAGTGACGAAATTGACGGCAAGTTTATTGTTCTTTGCAGGGGATGTACAAAAAGGTGCACAGATTTGAAGGACCGCTTCTTAAGGTAACAGTTTTCTCTGTTCGAGAGAGACAGTTTGTAAATTTTGATGGAACCTCAGCAGCTCAATTGAAAGGAGCAGTGCTCTCCTGGTTTAAAATTCCGGGAGGTTAGTGGGGATATGTGTAGGTTCAGCTGCTGTGGATGCAGGGTCATGGAGCGAGGAAGATAATTTCTGGACATGGCCCATGTGTCTGTGAGATCTTGCAATGAATTTCCGTTTTCTCATTTGTGTGCAAGAGTTAAAAATATATCAAAAGGCTGTTGTGCTTAAATTTTAAAATGTTGAGACAATTTCATTCCCTGATGACTGTTGAATTTTGTATCAAATTATTAAATAGTTGAACATCAATCTGCTTGACCTGCAGTTCAGCTGGAATGGGAGAGGAATATTTGGGGATGGTCCTTCCCTTGTTTGTTTTTGTGATCTGGGCACCACTGGCTAGGCCATTTATCACCGATTCCTAGTTGCCCAGAGGGCAGTTAAGAGTCAACCACATTGCAGTGGGTCTGGAGTTGCATGTAGGCCAGACCAGGTAAGGATGGCAGTTTCCTTCCATATTAGTGAACCAGATGGGTTTTCTTGACAATCAACAATAGTTGTTGATTAGACACTTAATTCCAGATTTTTATTGACTTCAGCCCATGTTGACAGAACATGACCTTGTTCTCTGGATTAATAGTCTAGCCATAACACCACCAGGTCATCACCTCCCCCTGAAATATCACACACAAATTTCAGTGGGCTGAGAAGTGGCAAGTAACATTCACACCACACAAATTCAAGGCAATGATAATATGGAAGAAGAGACAGGCTAACGACTACCCCTTGACATTCAGTGGTGTGACCATCATTTAATGTCCCTTCGGGTTACCATTGATGAGGAACTGGACTCTCCACAGAAACACAGTGGCTACAAGAGCAGGTCAGAGGCTATGAATCCTGCAATGAGTAACTCACCTCCTGTCTCCCCAAAGCCTATCCATCATCGACAAGGCACGAGTCAGGAGTGTGATGGAATACTCCCCACTTGCCTGGATGGTGCAGCTCCAACAACACTCAAGAAGCTTGACACCATCCAGGACAAAGTTTGATTGGCACTACATCCACAAACATCCACTCCTTGCCTAACTGATGTTCAGTAGCAGCAATGTGTACTATGTACAAGATGCACTGCAGAAATTCACGGAGGCTTCCCAACTTATGACCACTTCCATCTAGAAGAAGGAAGACACCAGATACCTGGGAACACCACCCCCTGCAAGTTCGCTTCCAAGCCACTGACCATCCTGTCTTGGAAATATATCGTTGTTCCTTCAGTGCCACTGTGTCAAAATCCTGGAATTCCCTCCCTCGGGGCATTGTGGGTCAACCTACAGCACATGCCCAGCAGTGGTTCAAGAAGGCAGCTCACCCCCACCCAAATAAGTAGGACAATAAATTCTGGTCTGGGCACTGGTGCCCACACCCTGTGATGGGGAAAAAAAGACTTATGTGCTGTGTTCCCTACATTATAACAGTGACTATGCTACAAAAAAGTACTTGATTGGCTGTAAAGCGCTTTGAGACATTGCAGAAGGACACAAACTAATATTTGTGGTGTATATATATGTAGGGGACCTGATCAAGAAAGGCCTCAGATGCTACTAAAAGTGGCCATGTGCTTGATTGTAAGGAGCATAGCTGTAGATTGGAGGAAAATATCCAAGGACTGGTCAGATGGGCAGGAAATGATAAATGTAATTCACCCTGGAGGTGATAAATTTGGGGAGGTCCAACAAGGCAAAGAAACATCCAGTAAGTGGGAGAATACTGAGGGGCGTGGAGGAGATGAGGGACTTCTGACAAAATGTCAATAGATCCCTTAAGGACAGGATAAAATGGTTACAAGGGAACATGGAATCCTTTCCTTTCAAAGCTGAGGTACAATGCATCATGAATGGTGGAGCAGGTTTGAAAGGCCGAATGGCCTACTGCTGTCTCCATTTTTGTTTTTGTTTTTGTTTTTGTTTCTGTTTCTGTTATCCTTGAGCTGTTTAAATCAATACTTAGACCACAACCTGAGCACTGTGAGCAGCCTGGTCATTTCATAACAGAAAGGTTGTTTTTTTTTTTAAAATAACCCCACATTGTAAAGTTGCCATTTCCCAGAGGACCCACGGGCTGCCCCCTTATCAGAGAGAGAGACAGAGAGAGAGAGAGGGGGGGGGGGGGGATGGGATGGGATGGGATGGGGGTGTTGCAGGGGTGCGGTCAACTGGTAGTGGTTTAACCTGAGGGTCACCACGCCCCAGGCGAGGAGTGAGGTTGAGAAAGTGGGACCTTTATGGTAACCTCAGTGAGTGCAGAAATTGGACCCATGCTGTCGGTGTCACTCTGCATTACAAACCTGTCATCCAGCCAACTGAGCAAAGGCTGTAGTTATACCAGTGAGGGTATAGTGGTGATATATAAGGAACTTGCCAGGACTGGAAAATTGAAACAATGAAGAAAGAATGGATAGGCTGGGGTTGTTCACCTTGGAACAGAGGAGTCTGAGGGCTGATCTAATTGAGATGGACAAAACGGTAAGGGGCTTGGAAAGATGGGAAGGACTGACTGACCTTTCTACAGAGGTCAGTGACTAGAGAGCATGAATTTAAAGTGATTGCTAGAAAGATTAGAAGCAAGATGAACAAAATACTTTCCACCCAGAAGGTGGTATATATCTGGGAACTCACTGCCTGAAAGTGTAGCGGAAGCCAAAACCCTTGATTTGTTAAAAACCCATCTGGGTTTGCACCTTGGGTCCTGTGACCCTGTGGGGCTATGACCTTGATGTTGGAGATTGGCATTAGGCTGGCTGGTTTTCAGCCACCACAGACTCCATTGAATCGAGTTATCTTTCTTTCTTATGCTGATGTGCTTCAGTAAATGTGTGTATAAATGCCATGTAGCCGGTCACTATTACAGTGTGCATCTATCAGCCATGAGCCTGTCTCCCAATACATTGATTCAATGCCAAATATATTCAGAATCAAACACCTGATTGATGTGTGGCGTTGCTGTTAGCACGACAGAAGAATAAAGGTGGCATGATAAAGTTAAAGCCAAACGTTTGGAGAACAACAGAACGGGAGGAGGCCTTTCAGCCCCTCTAGTTTGTTCTCGTGTCCACAAAGATCATGCCTGATCCCGTACTTCAGAATCACAACAGTGTGGAAACAGGCCCTTCAGCCCAACAAGTGCACACCAACCCTCGGAGCATCCCACCCAGACCCATCTGGCGTAACCCACCTAATCTACACATCCCTGAACACTAGAGGCAATTTAGCATGGCTAATCCACCTACCCTGCATATTTTTGGACTGTGGGAGGAAACCGGAGGAAACCCACACAGACATGGGGAGAATGTGCAAACTCCACACAGACAGTCGCTGGAAGGTGGAATTGAACCCAGGTCCCTGGTGTGGTGATACAGCAGTGCTAACCACTGAGCCACCGTGCTGCTACCTGAACTATCTCTATTGCTCAGATCCTTACCCCTAAGTTCAAGTTGACTCCAGCCTCGGAGCAGAGAGTGCAGGTATCCACTCTGCCTTTGAGTGAGGACACACTTGTTAACGTCACCCACAACTGTGTGGTTCAGATTTGAAGGTTCTGGACTCCCCTACCACCGACCTTCCACCCCCCCCCGCCACCAGAGCAAATAGTTTCTTTCAATTGACCCCAGCAGCTCCTTTAAATCACCTTAAACCTCTCAATTAGATTATTACTTAGTTTTTGAGCCAAGCTAGGGCTCTTGTGATGGAATGGTAGTTCCCCTCCCTCTGAGCTAGGAGGCTCAGGTTCAAGTCCCACCTGGTCCAAAGGTGTGTAGTAGCTTCTCTGAACAAGTTAAATAGGAAATATCTACAAAGCGAGGCTACATAGCCTGTCCTTGTGATTAAGCCGTTTTTGCCCTCTGCTGGACTCTGTGATATTGCTGCCAAAACAGAGCAGGTCAGGAAGGGTGTGTGAAGACAGAGTTAACATTTTAAGTCAATGACCCTTCATCATCACTGGTCATCTTTCAATCCTGAAAAGTCATTAAGTTGTAATGTTAACCTTGGTGTTTTTCTCCAAAGCTGCTGCCTGACCTGCTGAGTTTTCCCAATATTATGTATTTTTATTAAGTATTGTGTCTTTTTATTTCTGGTTTCTAGCCTCCACAGCCTTTGATTTTGTATTAGTGCACCTCCACTATCATAGTGAGAAAACCATGTTCTTCTTTTACAATAATTCACATCTATTTTGTTTTTCCAGCGTAGCCGTTTTTTTGGCTGGAATATGGTTTGGGTAGTTTTGGAACATGGAGTACTGTCATGGTTTCACAATCAGTAAGTGTGAACACATTATACGTGGAGTGACAAAATTACATTTCTTTGTCAGTAGAACAAAGGTTTCAATTCCTCCTGCAACACCCCCCTCACTCTGTCTCTGTCTCTCTCTCTCTCTCTCTCTCTCCTTTTGAAGGTCAGATGCGAAAGCTGATGTTTACCGACAAGGTTGCAAGAATCTAACACAAGCTGTTTGTACAGTAAGATCTGTTTAATCATTGCCTTTAAGTGATAGAACGGTCACAGCATGGAACAATAGGAGGCTGTCTAGCAAGTCCCACTCCCCTGCCTTTTCATGTAGCCCAGTTGCCAAACCTGCTGGGTTTATTCCGAGTCAGAAGTCACACAACACCAGATTATAGTCCAACAGGTTTATTTGAAATCACGAGCTTTTGGTGTGCTGTTCTTTTGTCAGGTGAAGTTTGTTTCAGCAATTTCTGTTTTTATTTCTGATTTCTGGCACCAACTGTTCTTTTGTCTTCCCCTCCTGGTGTTTATCCAATTCCCTCTTGAAAGCCTCCAACAACTCTGTAAAGGTGTGCATTCAAGACCCTGATCACCCACTGTGTGGAAATGTTGCTCCTCATTCGTAGCAGGTTCAATAGTCCAAATGGCCTTTTGCCGCTGCTTTGGGAGCACAGTTGGGAGATGAAGGGAAAATCATTTAGGACTGAGCTGAAAAGTAATTTCTTCACGTGTTTGGGAATTCTATAACCATGAGAACTGTAGATTCTCCATGGTTGGACATAACTAGTGCTGAGACACACAGATCTTTGATCTATTGGCAATTTGAGGGATGGGGGTGTGGGTGAGACAGTTGAAGCCCAAGGTCAGCCAGGATTGTATTGATTTCTGGAATAGGCTCGTTGGGTCAAGAGGTCTACTCCTCCTTGGAGACTCCCGACAGATGGTGTTGAATTTTAGTTATTTTCACAGATTTCTCATTTTCCAAATGTTTTATCACCAAGGTTAAAGGAGCAGAGGAAAGAGTCCTTTCAATCAAGTGCTTTGATGACAGTATCTACATCTTTAAAGTGCACCCAAAAGATGTTCCTGCCCAAACAAGTAAAGTGAGTACTCCAATATGGAATAAAAGTCTGTTGGCCACTGCCTTATGGTGTGCATAAGAAGTTTTTAAGATGTAGCATTGTGCAGAACCCTGGTTTGTAAGGCGTTCAATCGTTTCTAGTGTCTCAGATGAATTTCTACCCTTTCACTTCCCTTCCAGAAATGATAGTGATTCCCTTGTCTTCACGTTCGATCTATCTATTCAACAAATCACCGCTGCCATTTCCACCATCTCCAGCAGGATCCTGTTACCAAACACATCACCCCCTCCGCCGTCAGCAACCTGCAGGGCACATTCTCGCTGTCACATCCTGATCTAATTCTGTATCATCAGACAGTGTGATTCCTGTCCCCACCACACTTCCCTGTTGGCATTCACAGGTGATACAGCACCTGTCCTTTCACCCCCTTCCTTGGGCCAAAAACACTCCTTCCAAGTGAACCCCGGTCAACTTGATACAGTTTCACATTTGGCCACCTGTTTGTGCTCCTCATGTAATATTCTATTCATTAGTTCTGTTTTGCTGTCTTCCTTTGCTGCCTGACCTGTTAGCTATTTGTTTTTAATCAGCAATAGCAGGTTACCTGTTCAGTATAACCTTGCTGTTTGTGGGATCTTGCTATGCGCACATTGGGCACACCACTTCCTCTGGTACCATAATGATTGCACTTCAGGAAACCTTCACTGGCCGTAAATTCCTGTGGGTCGTGAAAGGCGCTAAATAAATTCAAACTCCTCCTTTAACATTTTAATTGTGACTCTCCTACATGAAGGTGGTGCTGGTTACAAAAATGTTTCAAGATCCAGTTGGATTTATTTCAATGCAATCTCACAGAAGAACACAGCACAGAAGGAGGCCATTTGGCCCATCATATCTGCACTGGTCAACAAAGATCTGACTTCACAAGTCTCACTTGCCAGCTCACAGTCCCAAGCCCTGGAGCCTATGACAATGTAAACGGGTATCTAGGTAGTAATCACAGAAAGGTTACAGTGCATGAGGTGGTCATTCAGCCCATCGAGCCTGTGCCAGCCCTCTGCAACTTAGCTGGTCCCTCTCCCCCCGCCCTTTCCCTGCAGCTCAGCCAGATATTTTCCCTTCAGCTGCTTTGCCAATTCCATTTTGTAAGCCACAATTGAACCTACCCCGACCACAGTCTCAGGCATTGCATTCCAGACCCTAACCATTCGCTGTGTAAAAGGGAAAAATATTTGCTCAGATATCCTTTGGTTCTTTTGCCAATTATTTTTAAATTGGTGTCCTGTTTCTCAACCCTTCCATCAGTGGGAACAGTTTCTTCCTCTCTGCTGTGTCCAGACTCCTCATGACTTTGGATATCAAACAGCTCCTATCCAGGAGGACAGCTCCGGGCATTGTAAACTATCCAGGTCTCTGGATTACTTGTCCAGTAATAGAACTAGACCACATGCAGTTAGAAATCTGTTTAAAAAATGTGCAAGGTAGATTTGCATAATAATAATGAAGATTTGGCCATTGTAGTGAAGCATCTGCTTTGTAAATTTAATAGCCTTATATTGTATGATTGATTTTCAGTGTTTGGTAACCTTTGTACTGTTTCAGATACTGACATTTCACTATGTTATTTGCTTTGACCAACTAATTCTGGAATTTCTTTTCTGTTTTGTTTATAGAAATGGCTTCAAGCAATAGAAGAACATTCTGCCTATAGCACTCACTACTGCTCCCCCGATCAGTTCAGTGATGATGATGAAGATGAAAATTTAGCTTCTGTTGAGTCTCTGCAGGAATCATTCCAGGTGCTTTTTAAGTCACTAAACTGTGTGTCTTGTAGATGGTGCACGCTGCTGCAACTGAGCGTCAGTGGTGGAGGGAGTGAATGTTTGTGCATGTGGTGTCAATCAAACGGGCTGCTTTGTCCTGGATGGTGTCAACCTTCTTGAGTGTTGTTAGAGTGCACCCATCTAGGATTTTGACCCAGGAACACTGAAAGCCTCGCAATATATTTCCAAGTATGGGATAGTAAGGATTGGCAGGGCAGGGCCAAGGTACTGAATGGCTGACTGATGTTCCCAATGCGTCTGTGAACAAATATTTGTTTGTAATGCTATGGCAACTCACCAAGCCTTCTCCAACTGCACCTGCAAAACTCTCAACAACTTCCACCCAGAAGGACAAGGGCAGCAGATATATGGAAACCCCACCACCTGAAAGTTCCACTCAGAGCCACACGGTGATATACTTAGAAATATATCACCGTTCCTTCACAGTCAGAGTCATACAGCGCAGAAACAGACCCTTTGGTCTAACTTGTCCATGCTGACTGTATGTCCCAATCTGACCAAGTGCCATTTGCCAGCATTTGCCCCTATCCCTCTAAACCCTTCAATTCATGTACCCATCCAGATGCCTTTTAAAGGTTGTAATTGTACCAGCCTCCACCACTTCCTCTGGCAACTTGTGCCATACACGCACCACCCTCAGCGTGTAAAGGTTACTCCTCAAGTCCTTTTTAAATCTTTCCCCTTTCACCTTAAACCTATGCCCCCTTGTTTTGGACTCCTCTACTCTGGGAGAAAGACCTTGGCTATTCACTGTACCTATGCCCCTCATGATTTTATAAACCTCCATAAGATCACCCCTCAGCCTTCGACCCTGTTGCGAGATCAAAATCCTGGAATTCCCTCCCGAATGGTATTCTGAGTTTTCTGACACCCCAAGGCCTGCAGCAGTTCAAGAAGATGGCTGTCACCTTTGCCAGGGCAGTTAGGGATGGACAAGAACAGCTGGCCTAGCTAGCAATGCTCATAGGCCAGGAACAAATATTTTAAAATTCCCGATAGGTTAATCAAATGGAGTTGCTGTCGTGGGATTTGATCCCATTGTCTCTAAGAGGTCTCAGAAATTAGGGACGTTACCATGACCCCACAAACTCTCTCCACGTAGTGTGCCTTTCAGAATCATGTTGCCAGTGTAACTTTGGCATTGTCAGGATTATTTAGCAATTGTTCAATCACTGAATCACACATAGCGTTGGACCCTATGTTCTGAGATGCCCAAGTGTGGGCTGGTCGAGTATAGTCGGTTCTCTGCTTGTTGCAAACAGCCAAAGGGATATGCTGTTTGATACAGTCCACTAGATGCTAGGATGAACGATTTACAAACTTGGCTCACACTGTCATTGAAATTCCTACGCCATATTAAACATTTGCGAGAATTAGACAGAATACCTGTTCAGGTTGATGGCAACATCCATTTGGTGTTGAAGACCTCTGTGACTGCGTGATGGCAGTATAAAACGACTAGCTGTACTTGTTGCTCATATTGTGATACAGCTTATCTTTCCGGGATGATCTGAGGTAGTCTGAGCACTTTAAGTTCATTTATATGTTTGCGCAAAGGACAGGGCAATGATCTGATCGGGGTTGCTGAAAATCCCCACTTCTGACCTTATGTTGGAGGGAAGGTCATCGATGGAGCAGCTGAAGGTAGTTGGGCCTAGGACAGCACTGTGAGGATCTCCCGCAGAGATGTCCTGGAGCTAAGGTGACTGACCGTTAACAACCCCAACCATCACCTTTTGTGCAGATATGACTCTAACCACTGATCCCCATTGATTCCAATTTTGCTAGGCCTCCTTGATGCCACACTTGATCAAATACAGCCCTTGATGTCAAGGGCTGTCACTCTTGCCTCACTGCTGGAATCAAAATCTCTTCACATAATTAGACTAAAGCTATAATCAGGTCAGGAGCTGAGTGATCCTGGTGGAACCTAAACGTCAATTATTAATTAAGTTAATAAAATCTGGAATCAAAACCTGATTTCTGTATTGGTGGCCACAAAGCTATAACCAGTTGTTGTAAAAACTCTATCTGATTCACTAATGTCCTTCAGGGAGGGAAACTGCCATCCTCACCTGGTCTGGCCTACATGTGACTCCAGACTCTCAGCAATGTGGTTGACACAACTGCCCTTTAAGGTGGGCTATCAAGGTCACTGAGTTCGACAGCAATTAGGGATGGGTAACAATGGCTGCCCAGTGATACCCACATCCCATAAGTAATTAAAGATAAATAGTTGTTATCCATTTACTAATATGTGTCACTGATGTTAACGCCGCCAGAAGGCCTTGTCTACTGGTGCTGCTGTGATCTGTGTGCACAGCGCCTCCCTCTGTTGGATAACTGTAACACTGCATTTGAAAATAACATTTTGGGAGCCTCCACCGCTGCTTATTAGATCAGTATATTTAAAATTTTTGGTAAATTCTTGTTTTGGCCTTTGTTTTCTTCCAAACTGCTGACTCAGTGTTTGCTTGCAGACTATCTTTCTCCCATGTTTGTCCTGAGAAGTTACAGTTTTAGGATAACTGCGACAGATTTAAATCAGAGATGAGGAGAAATTACTTCTGTCAAAGGGTCGTGAGTGTGTGGAATTCGCTCCCCTGGTGTGTTGTGAATGTTGGGACACTGAGTAAATTTGAGAAGGAGATAGACAGATATTTAATTAGTCATGGTTTGAAGAGAGCAGGCTGGAATGTGGAGTTGAGGCCAAGATGTGATCGGCTATGATTATATCAAAGGGAGCAGGCTTGAGGGGCTGAATGGCCTACTCCTGCTTATGTTCAATTAGAAATTGGAGCAGTGGTCAGCCATTCAGCCCTTCAATCCTGCATGTCTCCCACTACATCACTCCAGTTAGCAATCCTCTCACCACTGAAAACAGATGAAGTAAGGAGAAATGATCAGAATCCATCATCATTTCAAACACCTTTTATGTCATTTCTCACTTCACCTTCTCTTAATTGATATCTTTCTGGTAAACCTTCCTCTGCATTGTCTCTGAAGAATTCACATGCTTCTGAAAGTGTGGTTATCAGAATCCTCTAAAAGATGTAATTATATCTTTGTTACACTTTGACAACACCTCCCAATTCCAGCCTGCACTCTGTGCTCCTGCTTCAGGGACATCTAGATATGGATAGGGTGGTAGAAGAGATAGGAACATGGGAATTAGGAGCGGGATTGGGTAATTCAGCCCTTCAAACCTGCTCCACCATTTAACATGATCATGGTTGATCTTATCCTGATCTCGATTCCACTCTCCTGCCTGCTCTCCATAGCTCTTTATCCCGCTTTTCTCAGAAACATATCTATTTCTTGAACCTGTTGATTGATTCTGCTTCCACTGCACCCTGGGGCAGTGAGTTCCATAGCTTCTGAGAGAAGTAGTTTCTCCTCATCTCAGTTTTGAACGTACCTCATTTTACTCTATATCACTGCCTTCTTGTTTGAAACTGCCCCACAAGGGGAAACATCTGTTCAACGTTAACGTTATCAATCCCTTTTAACATTTTCATATACCTCAGTCAGATCCCCCTCCCCCGCCATTCTTATGAACTCTAGCAAATACAAGCCCAAGGTATTCAACCACTCCTCGTATGATGGCCCTTTCAACCCTGGAGTCAACCTGGTGAACTGCTTCCAACACCACCACTTCCTGACATGGGGATGAGAGCTAACCACTGAGCCACATTGAAAAAGAGTAGATTGAAAGATGGAAAGCAGCAGGAGCCCCTTCTTAGTGATGGTAAAGTAGCTGATCTGCGTTCAGAGATGGAAAATGGTCTGATTTTTCAGATAGTGCTGAGGTTGGGTGAGGCAGCAGTCGTGAACCCACAATAGTACTCTGATCATATATGTAAATGGATAGATCTCAGTCGAGTGAGGGACAGGTGCCAGTAGGAGTGACCCAATGGGCCAAATAGCCTCCATATGTGTTGTAGATGATACTATGAAAACTTCCATTGGTTCTACTTGTTCAGAAGTGAACATCTGTGAAGGAAGACTAGGGGGCACATTTTTAAGATGAGAGGAGAGAGAGTTTAAAAAGACATGGGAGGCAATTTTTTTACACAGAGGGTGTTTTGTGGGTGGAATGAACTTCCTGAGGAAGTGGTGGATGTGGGTACAACTACAATGTTTAAAAAAACATTTGGATAAGTAGATGAATAGGAAAGGTTTGGAGGGATATGGGCCAGCAGCAGGGAGATGGGACTAGTTTAGTTTGGGATTATGTTTGGCATGGACTGGCTAGACCGAAGGCTCTGTTTTCGTGCTGTATGACTCTATAACTGGAGCCAAAAATTTGGATTTCTGTGAGCATTAATCTCCCGATATGGAATTTGACAAGGTGACCTCCTTTTCGAAGCACATGCATGAACAGAGAGAGCTGCACGTTCATGTATGTTAGTCTTGAAGGTAGGGTCATACAGCATTAATCCAGGCCCTTCCATCCAACTTGACCGTGCTGACCGGGTTTCCCAAATCTGTCTAGTTCCATTTGCCTGCATTTGGTCCATATCCCTCTAAGCAAGTTATTAACATTGGTAACAAGACAAGTTAGGAATAAGAAGTTTTAAAGAAGGTCACAGGCAATGCAGGACTTCATGAAAGACATTTGAAAGGCATTTGAAAGCAAGGTCATTATACCAACCTGGAGAGATTTTATCTTAAACTATGCTGAATTGTTGTGATCTGGAACAGGTTGTCTAAAGGGTGGGTGAAGCAGCTTCAATAGAAATTTTCAAAAGAAAATTGGCGAAATGTTTGAACAGGAATATTTCTTTGGGCTGTGGGCTAAGAGCAGAGAGAATGGGGCTGATTGGATAGCTTTATCAAAGAGCCAGCAAAGACACCAAAGGACAAATGGCCTTTCTTTGTTATACGGTATCATAACAATAAAGTACGAACTATGAGCAGAAATAGGCCAGTCAGCCCTTCGAGCCTGCCTTCAG